CCCCCCTAGCCCCTTCGGATGTCCTAATACATTTACTATTATCAGAAACAACTTTTTCTCCCCACCCCCTCCGGCCGGCAGAAATTTCCTCCGTGGGGGGAATATGGATCTTTTCTGGAACGACCCATTGGGACATTATAAACTAATTATATTTGAACTAGGGCAGAGTAAACTTGCTTGGGCCCCTCCCAGGTGGGATTTTTTCAGCCTGCCTTGACTAGAAATCCTGGCTACGTCGTTGTTTGGGGGAAGAAACCCGAAGGAAAGAAATGGTTGATGCAACTACAGTATATCCATTTTATTCTAAGTAAATACAAGTTTTTTTTTCTTACCTCTTCATACAAGACACAGAATTTATTATCATTCTCTATCGTTGGTTTCCACCAGTATCCAGTGTATCGGTCAAACTCCTCCTGGACTACAAATGACGGCACTCCTGCAGAAACTGTTTCATCCACAGCACTGTTCTGGGGAAGCCCTGAGTGGGTCTGGGTCAACTGTTTTTCTCGACCAGTCGTGATGTTGCTTACCCATACATCATTGTGGTGGATAAATCCGATGATGTTGGGGTTGGAAGGGGATAATTTAGGATCCATTCTCGATTCTTTCGTCTGTGTTTTAACTTCACCAGGAACGAGGGGAACATTGGCATCTCCTGGATTCTGTTAAAGTAACATTCATAAAAATTTGCAAGATATAGATTTTCCACAATATTTTCTGGTAGTATATTTTTAATTGAAGTCTACTAAACTTTGTTTATGCCGGATAGCTTTGTCTGTTCTAACTTCCTCCACAGAGAAATTGGAAGTTAATCCCCCAAACCCCTTTTGGACATCCTAATATGCTTATTATCAGAAACAAATTTTTCTCCCCCCCCCCCACCCTACAGAAATTTCCTCTCTGGGGGGGGGGGGGTTGTGTGGATCTTTTCTCAAAGCGCCGGATATGTGCACCAGATGCTAGTAAATATACTGCTATTGCACCAGACATGTCAGACACACGGTGCTTACATTCCATACTGCATGGTCTGTAACTTAATATTTTATATATCAACATTTCAACATGATTAATCCCAATACTTACCGACGGTAATACATGATCCCTGCACATATATAAACTGCTACAGGCAGGAAATAGAATGCTTCTAGAATTCTTATCGTACTCGTATGATGTAATGCCAAAACTACCCATTCGTTTTCGCTCCCGAAGCAACTGTTCCTCGCGAGAAAATCCTTGAAATGGCCTCAGACTGTCTAAATCCAGCAACAAATGCCATTGAGCTGAGGGTACTACAGCCGGCTGTTCCCCCTGTTCTCCAGGTTTCAAGTCCACATAAAACAACGTATATTCACTACGGTTCTCAGGCAAGGCCAAAAAATACAATTTCGTGTCGCTAAATGTGAAATTATTAGGAGTTCTAGTAGACTGTCTACCAGACAGACATAGGCTCCTTGTTGCTTTCACGGCCGCCAAAAGCTCAGACCAACTACGCTTACGATTTGTACCATTAAACATTTTGTAATGATATTTTGAAGATAGAAAATAGTGGTTATTTCCTTGGTAGTTTACAAAAAAAACAACATATTTTTAACATTGCGAAATACTCATTGATTTCCGCCATGTTTTCCTTTTCAATATTTTGGACTTAGTCCTCGCTCACTCCACATCGTCCATTATGTTAATTAGAAAGTAATTACATTAATTTAGCTCTAATTAATTTATATTTGCAATTAAAACTAGGCGTGCAATATAACAAAATTCATCACAATATATTATCAAAAACTTTTATTTACAATTTCAGTTACACTGATGACACTTTTCCAAAATTAGAGACCATTTTCAATATTCACATTTCAGGAATATAGTGATGTCTGTATTTGTGTAATTCTGAATCATATTGAAAACTTGAGATGCACAGCAGAAATGGTTTATTGTGCAAATTCTTGTACAATCTTATGGCTTATGATCAACAACATGAGCCACTCTGTTCGTTTTGCATGCGTAACGAAGTGTTCAATACATCCGGCGGACTTGATTCCTGTTATAAAATAAATGTGCTCGTTATAAATCATATGCAAAAAATGATGTTGCAAACCAAGCAGAACACTAACACAAACCTTGCTATCTTTAAGGTCCTTAATAAGATGTGCTAGACACTTGAAAGCCTACAAAAAAGAAACATCAAATGCAAGAATCCAAATCCAATAATCCATTATTTAAATGACTATATATAAACTTTCCTCACGGTCAGCTTGTGTACAGGAACTAGCTTTGGCAAATAAAGATGTGATTTTTTTAAAAATTGAAACTACCTCTTTCACTCCATCACCAGTTTTTGCACTTGTTTCAAAAAACTGCAAATTATTATTCTGTGCAACCTAGGAATAACAGAAAAAACTTTTAATTGTGAAATCCAATTGAGCTAACTTAAAGTTAAACTTGTCTAAACTATGTACCAGGGCTCAAAATTTGAATTTTTTACCAGTATCCAAATGGATACTAGGGTCTTAAAATCTAGTATCCCTATTTGAAATTTAGTATCCCAGATTTGGATAGTAGGTATTTCGATAATAGTATCCAAACAAGGTAAATAGCTGCCGGACAGGTGTGTAAATGAAGTACACTGTACACTGACACTCGCGAGATGAGTTTGTAACGCTTTAATATGGAAATTACCGCAACCACCCTTCACAAACTTGGATTCCTTGTCGCAAAGCGTCCCGCTGTTTAAACAAGTACTGCAAAACATCTTATCATTCGTCAGGGTCACCCACGGGAAGGATTTTTTCCAGTTTTGGTTAAATTTTCTGCTGCGCTTTGTTGATTCGTATCTGCGTTTAATTTCATCGCTTCTTTTATCGCGTCTTGCTTGGGCAATTACATTAGGCCGTCTCACTTCCTCAACGACTTGTACCTCGGCTTCTACGGTCTCGTGGGTCTGCTGCGTTTCAGCTGTTCGTAACTCGTTATAATTGATTTCTTTTGGCTGCTGTTCCGTATCTTGTGCGCCTTCATCACCATGCGTGTCTTGTTGATGTTGTTGTATTTGGGTTGAGTCGGTTGAAGATGACAAAGAAGGACTCTCGTCACGAACTTGCGTACTTGTTTCAGCAGCTGTTATCGAAGTTGGTCGTCTCTCTTGATTGTCTCGCTGAGTTCGAACTACGTATCTCCACATTTTTGCAAAAACCTCCCGTATATAAACTGTGTTCGAGCATGTGCTTTTTATCTCGTGCTAGCAGGGAAAAACCATAGGCATAAAAACACGAGTCAAATTTCATTGCATTGTGATGGCGACAGGAAATCACGCGTAATCATTGGTTATCATGTTCTGAGCAATCATTGCCGAAAATAGACAGGCAGAAATTAACGTCGTGCTCAGGTCCATTCCGTTTTCGCGCGACAAACAACGAAAAAAATATTATTTTGACGAACATTTCGCCGCGATGTACGAACTTCGCCAATATTACGATTTTTTTTAGTATCCCGTTGGGATACTAAGCCTATGATATCTAGTATCCAAAATTGAAATCTAGTATCCCGTGGATATCGGGATACCGCTAATCTTGAGCCCTGTGTACTGGAAAACATGTTAGTTTACGCTCAACATCAGGCAGTTAATTCATGTTACTTCACAAGTATTTACCATTTCTCCTCTTTCTTTAGATATTACTCTCCCATCTTCAACGTCAGCTTTATTCCCCACTAATACTTTACACACATCAGAACTTGCATTCTGAATGAAAGATACTTAATATTAAATCCATGAAATACCACTATGTTCCATTCACCAATTAAGACTACTGCAAAAATTCATAGAAGGCAAACTGACAACGATGATCGACTAACGTCGTCAATGTTCCTTAACCAAGAATTGATGTGACTGAAGGATTCCTCGGCCGTGACATCATAGACTAACAGTACGCCCTGTTCGACAAATAAGAAAACTATTTTACGGTATCATTGTTGAAGTATCATTATTGTGTTATGAATAAATTTGTCACAGCAGTCCAATTTGAATAATTGTACCAATAATTTATTGTGTCCTAATTATACATCATACCATAGCTCCTCTGTAATAAGCACTTGTTAAAGTTCTAAAACGCTCTTGCCCAGCAGTATCCCTATAAAATGTGATGAACAAGATGTATAAGTTCAGATTTGACAAACACTACGGCTCTGGCTTAATATGTGTATTTGATTGGTTAATCGGGTCGATTAAAGGCATCTGATTGGTCAAATAATGGTAGCACCAGTGGAATTTGAAACACCAAATATAGACATGTGTAATCATACAAACATTCATGTTATAATGCATACCAAATTTGCATTCGAACTTTCAGTTCATCAACATCCAGCATTGTAGTTCGGCAATCAATACCTGTAAAATTGTCATGGAAATGTCAGAAATGACAAGTGGTCTGTTTATTGTTATCAATTATCATGAACTGAAAATACAGAATGTGTTTTATAAGTACATGCTCAACTTAATTCAATACAACCTTTTACATTTATTAATAAAAGTTCAAAAATTGTAACAATTTTAGTTTCAATTTTTACTCAAACTATAAACACCTAACACAATTTTTACCAAGATTGAACATACCGATCGTGGAGACGTAGGCCTCTGAAAAAATTCCTTCTGTGTAACGATAAATTAAACATGTTTTTCCAACGCCACTGTCCCCTAAGACTAAAATCTTAAATGTAGAATCGTAATCATTACTTGTCGACATTTTCACGTTTTACAGCAGAGGTTTTACAGTATTATTTACAAGAGAACTGGAAATCACGGGACGAGAGTGATTGTATTTACTTCCGCATCAACATATGGAAAAAATTATGCGTGCTGGGCTATAACTAATTTATGCAATGAAACTGAATAAATTTAGAAGAAACACGCCACGAAACGTGATCACGCAATTCTTATACACACGCGAAAATCTCACATCTTGTAGCAAGTCTGCCAACAAGTTGTCTTCGACTCTTCGCACTGCTTGCCTCAAGTTGTCACAACAAGTTTGGAACAAACAGTTGACAACTTGTAACAACCTTGTTGATATTATCAGAAGTGTTGCAAGATTGTTCCAAGGGCCCTTCCAACAAGTCCGATACAGTCATGAAATAACAATGTTGTTACAACCTTGTGTCGTCAACCTTGTAACACTCTTGTTATATCATGACTGTAACAGACTTGTTAGAACAACCTTGTAGCAAGTCTGATAATACCATCAAGCTTGTTCCAAATTTGATATAACAACTAGGAACAAGCGATGCGAACAAAACTTGCTGACAGCTTGTGAACAGACCTGTAACAACTTGTGCGTTTTTACGTGTGTAGACATGCAAAAATCTCACATCTTGTAGCACGTCTGCCAACAACTCCAACAAGTGTGTTCATACTGCTTGTCCCAAGTTGTCAAAAGTATGGAAAAAGCTGTTAACAACTTTTAACAAGCTTGATGACATTATCAGACTTGTTGCAAGATTGTTCCAACAAGTCCGATACAGTCATAAAATAACAATGTTGTTACAACCTTGTGTCGTCAACCTTGTAACACTCTTGTTATATCATGACTGTAACAGACTTGTTAGAACAACCTTGTAGCAAGTCTGATAATACCATCAAGCTTGTTCCAAATTTGATATAACAACTAGGAACAAGCGATGCGAACAAAACTTGCTGACAGCTTGTGAACAGACCTGTAACAACTTGTGCGTTTTTACGTGTGTAGACATGCAAAAATCTCACATCTTGTAGCACGTCTGCCAACAACTCCAACAAGTGTGTTCATACTGCTTGTCCCAAGTTGTCAAAAGTATGGAAAAAGCTGTTAACAACTTTTAACAAGCTTGATGACATTATCAGACTTGTTGCAAGATTGTTCCAACAAGTCCGATACAGTCATAAAATAACAATGTTGTTACAACCTTGTGTCGTCAACCTTGTAACACTCTTGTTATATCATGACTGTAACAGACTTGTTAGAACAACCTTGTAGCAAGTCTGATAATACCATCAAGCTTGTTACAAGTTGTTAACAGCTTGTTCCAAATTTGATACAACAACTAGGAACAAGCAGTGCGAAGACAACTTGTCGACAGCTTGTGAACAGATTTGTAACAACTTGTTTGCAGACCTGTAACAACTTGTGCGTTTTTACGTGTGTAGACATGCAAAAATCTCACATCTTGTCGAGAGTCTGCCAACAAGCCGTCAACAAGTTCTGTTCACACTGCTTGTCCCAAGTTGTCAACAAGTATGGAACAAGCTGTTAACAACTTGTAACAAGCTTGATGACATCATCAGACTTGTTGCAAGATTGTTCCGACAAGTCCGATACACTCATGAAATAACAATGTTGTTACAACCTTGTGTCGTCAACCTTGTACCACTCTTGTTATATCATGACTGTAACAGACTTGTTAGAACAACTTTGTGGCAAGTCTGATAATACCATCAAGCTTGTTACAAGTTGTTAACAGCATGTTCCAAATTTGATACAACAACTGGGAACAAGCAGTGCGAAGACAACTTGTCGACAGCTTGTGAACAGATTTGTAACAACTTGTTTGCAGACCTTTAACAACTTGTGCGTTTTTACGTGTGTAGACATGCAAAAATCTCACATCTTGTAGCAAGTCTGCCAACAAGCCGTCCAAGCCGTCAACAACTCCAACAAGTGTGTTCATACTGCTTGTCCCAAGTTGTCAAAAAGTATGGAAAAAAGCTGTTAACAACTTTTAACAAGCTTGATGACATTATCAGACTTGTTGCAAGATTGTTCCAACAAGTCCGATACAGTCATGAAATGACAATGTTGTTACAACCTTGTGTCGTCAACCTTGTAACACTCTTGTTATATCATGACTGTAATGACAGACTTGTTAGAACAACCTTGTAACAAGTCTGATAATACCATCAAGCTTGTTACAAGTTGTTAACAGCATGTACCAAATTTGATACAACAACTAGGCGATGCGAACACAACTTGTCGACAGCTTGTGAACTGATTTGTATAAGAACTTGTTTGCAGACCTTAACAACTTGTAACAAGCTTGATGACATCATCAGACTTGTAGCAAGATTGTTCCGATACAGTCATGAAATAACAATGTTGTTACAAGCTTGTGTCGTCAACCTTGTAACACTCTTGTTATATCATGATTGTAACAGACTTGTTAGAACAACCTTGTAACAAGTCTGATAATGCCATCAAGCTTGTTACAAGTTGTTAACAACAACTAGGGCAAACACAACTTGCTGACGCTTGTGAACTGATTTGTAACAACTTGTTTGCAACGCAAGACAAGAACTCCAACAAGTTTTTTTGTGTATTCTGTTTCTTAGTAACACTAAAGGAGAACAGTTTAGAAATGACAGACTGAAGTTAGTCTGCTATATTACATTAAAATAGACATTTTCATTCCCAAAGGAACAACAAAGATACTTTATTCAACATCACGATTTACACGCCATGTTTCTTTATAATGCCCTCGATGGTTTGATAATCGGTCAACATCTTCTCTGCGTCAGCAATGATCCTTGTTCTTATTTCTCCATCAACTTCTTGCTTTGTTTCCGAGACCACCTCTGAAACATGGATCCCTGCTGCTTCCAGAAGAATTTTTACCAAAATCAGAACTATGAAAAGGATAAAAAAATATAACTTATTTTTAATTCTCAATTCTATAGGATTATACAAAAGGTCTTTTTTCCCAATATTATTATTATTATTCATAGAATTAAGACGGACGGTTAAACTACTCGAAACGTTGCCCAATTCCCGTCTGGTGGAGTCTCTGTTATACCTGTCTCTGGTATAATCAGACCGTTCTCAAATAACGTGACAATTACCGTCTGGATTATCGTTTCCAATGTCATTAAACTTCAACATCAAACCCTCGACACTCTTAATGGCTTTGCCAATGGCAAGAGTAGTGGAAGAATCGTAGAACTGGATGAAGGATACGGATGCCTTAATGGCAAGTTCTTCAATGTCCTGTTCTGCTTGGTCCACATCTACAAATAGGATGGTATGTGATTAATACTGAGAAATTGCCAATGATTGTGTAGGTAGGTTTTTAGGAAGGGTTGCAGGACAACCTCAGAACTGTTGACAATTATAGAAGAAAGTAAATTAATGTAGCTACACCTCTCAATACTATTGGACACCAAATGCAAGGTTACAACGTATAATGGAATAATAAAGATTTTCTCACTCTGATCACAGCTGGTTTATAACCACCTGTTATACAACAGTGTCCAGTGAAATCCACAATACTGTATTTCACTCAATAAACAAGGTCACATATCAAAATAGCTGTAAATCTTACTTCCTTTAAAGTTCGCTTTTTGGAACAATATCTTTAAACGTGATGCAAAGAAATCCATGATTTTCTTGTACTCCTGTATGCTGGTGGTGACAGCATCTTTCATGGCACTTTTCACTTCAACTGAGGAGGCAGATAGCGCTGCTTGCACGTCATAAGCGGTACCACGACGTTCCAGTTTATCTTCTGAAGAATACAGGTCATATTATGTTAATTAGGCCTACATGCATGAAGAAAATTTTTGTTATTACTACAACTGCGTCAACAACATCCACACATAAAAATTGAACTCACAATACCTTTTGCTATGGACCTTTTGTTCAGAACCTTACGCAGTAAGCTTAATGCCTCGGTCTTTATTTTTTCATTTTGAATATCGGCATTAAGCACAGCTAGTGTGATAGATGAACGAATTTTCGTCTCTGCTGTAATGACCGCCGCGTCAATGTTCTTGGCAGCTTGTTCGGCAAGAGCACGGACTTCACTTTGCATATCTAGAATAAAGATTGTATAATGTACCAAGTGCTTTCGGGTTTTTCTCCTCTACAGGGGGTTAACTGACTTCGTGCACTCGTGGAGTCTAAAGTAACTGGGTAGCTTATATCAGCATATTTATATATACTGGATGTAGCTTTATCACTTCTAAACTGTTCTTCCTATAGTTCCAGAATAGGACCATTTCGAACACAAGAAAAAACAAAGAACTCGCAGAAACCTAGTCTTTTCACATTCAACAGAAGCGATTATAACCAGACAATAGCATATATCGCAGGAATCATACCCTGATGGCAATAATGAAAGACGCACTAAGCAATGTCTCCTCAGTTGTTTAATTGTCGTTTCTTGCAGACTATGAAACTGACCTGTAGTGCTTCGTTTTCGTCTTGTACCCGAGAACATTCCTCTTACATCATCAATTGTTGTAGATACGGTCGAGTCCAGAATTTTTTGTGCTTCCTTCAACGATGTAAGCACCGTCTCTTTTACCTGAAAATTGAGCGCTATGTTAGTTCTCTACCAAGTCTAACCGTTCTCCCTAGAGGTCCCTGGTCAAGGCTTCAGCCTTCATCTCGTATTGGCCCACTAGAAGAGGAAACTTTAGTCTCTGAAGAACACCAGCGGTGTTTGGTGGGATTAAACCGAAAGCGTTCTTCTCAAATATGACTGACAAAGAAATTTTATCAGACAATTGCTTATTGCAAGAATAAACTTCTATCACAGAACTAGAAGTGAATTGTGTATAATCATTGTGGAGCCTCTTCTTTCAATCATTATATGAACGTAGTCCCTACCTTGGCGTCAATATCACGGATGGCATAACGAAAGATAAAGACCGCCGACCTAATGTCATCACAGATTGATGCATCAACCGATGGTGACAGAATATCTTCACAAGTGGGGCTGTCAGCTCCCCAAGATATGCTTGGAGATAGCAACGCGATCACCAACAACACTGAAAACATCCTTAAAATTCAATAAAATTGTTAGCTTTCTTGTTCACAAGACACTGTATAGTATACAAGTATTTTTCGAGTCATTCTTACCTTTATTTATAACACGACAATAAAACTCTTTTGACTTTTATAACAGAATAATGTTCTTCCCTGTATATCTGTATAATAATCACTAAGACTCCAATTGCAGATTTGAAAATCTATTAGTTTTCACTTATAAAGCTCAAATAGTTTACATAGCTGTTCGGACAGACCGCCAAGCATTGGCTAATAAATGTCGGAACGAAAACAGGATAAATTACTAAACAAACAAGGAAATAACAATTTTATAGCTAAATTTTCGGGGAACACAATATATTAATATGTAAATGCAAAATTCGGGATACTGTATATTCAATATGTATGTATTTTGTTTGCATTCGGTATTACAAGTTAGATGCAATTTATAAAATCTCATTAAATTAATCGCCTCTTTTACATGTAATACTTAGTGTTCAAATTGTTAAAAATTACGGAATTAATATCATAATAGTATAATTGGACGGCGGATTGCCTTGTCTGCGGTTATTGATCTATAATTAGACTATACAAATAATTATTAACAGTGTTGTATAGCACGTTGATTACATTTGGCATATCATTATAGCATAATCATACTACACGATTTCAATGAATTTAATTTCTCGTGGTTTTAAAGTCAAGACCGTATCAAAGTGGGTTACAATCCCACTTTATCAAAAGTATCACTTTCTGCTGCATGAGACACTCTCAGCCTGATCGCAGGTTACTTTCAGATAATGTCTTCATGTTTCATGTACGAATATATCTCTTTTTGGTCAACCTTACCCCTAACCCTATTGCACGCGCGAAACACGAGGATGATTTAAAATCGATTTTAAATTCATGACTTTCGTGAATTTGAATGTTGAAAATTTAACATTTCACCGCTTGTACAAGCGATTGTTCGTATCTATACGTTGCCGTCTTTAATTTTGGCTAAGTTTTTTTGTTGTGGTTCACAATGGTTAGCATAAGTTGCCCTCAATGGCATATCTTGCTGTGTCCATGTCACGCCATTTGTTGTCTAAATTGATCCAGAAGATACATTGGAACATGTTCCTCAGCCACCTACAAGAAAGAGGATACGATGTGAGAAAACGCCTTATGAACTAAGTAACTTAACTAACTTTATTTACGCTGGATAGCTCTATCAGTTCTAAACTGTTCTCTCTATAGTGATTCAACAAGAGTCATCCTTTTTGATCCTGTGTTACTACAAGATCGGAGTACTTGAAGAAATCAGGAAGCACTCTTCTCACATAAAACTGAGGAGAAATTCCCGTGGTCCCGAACGTGAAAGGCATGTACACAGACCACTGTGTTGGTAACACTCCTTCGTCCGCTGAATTACCAAGGCTGAGCATTTCTCACGGCAATTCACAGGATGCCAGTACTAAATCCACTGGGTCAATCACATTACAGAGGCCTTTCTATGAATGCTATACAAACATCTATACATATATACTGTACATAAGTCTTCACCTTTTTCGATAGTTTACTGTAATGTAAGAAATCTTCAAAGAAAGCCAAAGCATTTACTACTTCATCGGGAAACTCGGCAGCTTTTCCACTGTGGAAAGAAAGTGTGGAAAGAAAGACTCCAAAATTATACAATGGAGACCATTCAAAAAACAAACAAACAAACAAGAATTCCTTGCGAAGGTAGGCATTATGGCTAAAAAAACAATTACATGTTACAATTACATCACTTTTCTTACCTGGCAGCGGAATCCACAGAGGATCTCACATATTGTCCAAGACAAGCCAAAAATTGATGCGTCGTTTCAACATGATATTGTTTCAAAGCTGTGATTATGCCCACAACAAATGGTGCGAAATCTACAGTATCGCCAGGCTTTCGGGGAACCATTCCAGCTTGGTTAAAAAATGAAATAGATTATAGTGAAGTAGAGTAGGGTAGGGTAGGGTAGGGTAGGGCAGGGTACAGTAGAGTGGTGTGAGTTAGAGTAGAGCGGGGTAGAGTAGAGTAGTGCGGGGTAGAGTAGAGTAGTTAGAGTAGAGTAGAGTAGAGTAGAGTAGAGTAGAGTAGAGTAGAGTAGAGTAGAGTAGAGTAGAGTAGAGTAGTGTGGGGTAGAGTAGAGTAGAGTAATGTGGGGTAGAGTAGAGAAGTGCGATGTGGGGTAGAGTGGAGTAGGGTAGGTAGCAGGGCGCGAAATAACGGCTGGAGGGTCGGCGGTCAAGGTGACCGGCCAACTCAATTTTAGCTCGGACATACCGAATTTCTGGCTGGTCAAATTATTCAGCTAAAAGCAAAGTCTATAGTAAAATATACCCCTAAAAATGTGATACAAAAAGCAGTACAAAAAAAATAGCAGTACAAAAAGACTTACTGTAATCAGTAATTAAAAATTCCTTCACATAAAACAGCTTGTACTGGGCTAAAAGCATGGTCTTATAGCTCTTAAGCCAAAGGCATGGCCATGGCCCATGGGCTTTGTGACGTACTGCGTGCGAAAACAGGGCAACGTGGCACATGCATGTTATGGTTCTTAATTATAATACTGTACTTGACCACTTTATTTTGATTATTATTATAAAATGAAGATTAGTTTGTTCTTTTACCGAAAGT